GAATTAAATAACCGCGTAAAGATTGAGAAATTAAGACGAGTAGAGACGAAAACAACGTGAGGTTAAAAATGAGTGTTTTAAATTGTCCCATTTAAATAAACCGTTAATAGTGAAAAGTTCAAAATAGTAATGACTGAGAATTAACAAATGAACAACCCATTAACAAAATAATCAATCATCAAATTTGCCCGTTCTGACCAGAAGAAAGGTTTTAAATGACACTCTCTCATTCTTCTTGTTTTAGTGCAGTAGGGATTAAGGTTATACATAATATAAAGATAATTGTAAGTAAAAATCAATTATGACTATTGCTAAATAAATATAATATCTTATTTGGTCTAAACAAGATGTTAAATTGTTCTGAACCCATAGTGCTTATATGCAATCCCTAATGAAATTCCTAAAAGTCCTAAATTAACAATAGATTGAAATTAAATTAATCGAGATATAAAGAGAAGAAGAATACACGATCCCATAAATAAAAACATTTAAATTCATTTAAGTGGTTGTTGTGAACCGAAGATTAAGCTACAACTTTTGTTTTATTAATTAAATAACGAAAGACCTTATTGAATAACCTATATATATATATATATATATATATATATATATATAGGTTATTAATATATTTATTTATTTATTTATTTATTTATTTATTATTTTATTTTTTTTATTATTTTTATGTTTAATAAACATTTTTTACAACAAATGGTGGCAGCGGTGGGATCATTCTTTGCTTCTCGCCTTTCTTAATTATATTTTTATTAAATAATTTCACTAAAAATAATCCTCATATTTCATGAAACCTTTCCGACATTTTTATAATAAACAGTTATAATTATAAGTCTTCTCTAGGTTCGTTGAACGGCCACTCAAAAGAGGTAAAGCTAAAATGAATTGTTTATTATAAATTGTTATTAATTTCATGAACCATATTTTTAAATTTCAGTTGATCAGTACATTAAATTTTTCTCTTTAATTTAAAAGACAACTATGAATGGGTGTCTCGCGGTAGTTATAACATGATAGGGTGTTGAATTACTACTCGACAGTCATCATACTTGTTTCTTAGAATTAAAATATTTCCTAATTAAAAATTTTCTTGTTGTTTCCTTTTATTTATGATAGGTCTTTCAATAATTTAATAAAATAAAGATTTGTATTCCCTATCTTGTGCTTTTTTACTCAATTTCAATATTTCTTTTATTGACAAGTATTTTACTGGTGATGTAAATTTTATTTCGATCACATTAATATAATTATAAAAGACAAGAACTAAATACATAATTATTTATCGTCTTACCTAAACCACATACTTTATAAATATTTTGCATGCTCTTCTGAATTTGCAACCCAATTAAATTGAGCTGAATCCAATAAATAAAAATTTTTAATAAACGAATAAATTAAATTTTATACTTTTCTAATTTTTCTTTTATGCACACATGTAAATCTAAAATTTTAATTTCAAATTAAAAAAGGAAAATATGTAATAGAAATGTTTCTGTAAAATTTAATGACCTTGCATTTCAAGATTGTAACGTGATAACAAATCAGATTACTCTCCAAATGTTAACATTTAATTATGGAATAATCAAAAATTAATAAGTTACATTATCGTAAACATTAAAACAATCATTGTTTATTTTAAATTATTACTTTTGCAAGTAAGTCTATCGGTGGCGTAAGTGTTGCTCACTAGCGACCTCTTTATCTTTTATTAACATTGATTAAAATAATCAATTTTATTTTCCTTTGGATCCCTCCAGAATTGATTTTAAGCCAGACAATAAACTTGCACTAAAGGCACTACATAGTCCTACAAACAAGAAGGAATTAGAATCATTTCTAAATTTTGTAAAAGTCTTTGAATCACTTGTGAATAAAATTTTCTTGAGAAAACAGCAACCTCTTTTAAAAGTATTGCAATCAAATGGAAAATGGGAATGGACTCCTTTTCTTCAAACATGTTTTCGTTATGTTAAATGGCAATTGTCCTCACAAATACTAAATGAGTTAGATTTTTATAAACCCTTTTTATTAACTATTAATGCCTCAGACAATGGGGTTGGGGCCATTTTAACTCAAACCCACGGCAAGGTAGAGAAACCCGTTGCTTATTTTTCCAGATATTTGAGCGAGCATGAAAGATGGACTGACAGACTTGAGAAAGAATATTTGGCTATATACTATTCCGTCATACAGTTCAAGTTTTACTTAGTTTCAAAAAAGGTGCTATTGAACAGCATCCTTTCTTCTAAATTGTGCAAAGATTGCCTATCCAAAAAATTTTGTATTGGTCAAAATCTTCTCTAAATTTCGAGTACGAATTTAAGTATTGGAATGCTAAATTGTGCAACGCTGCAAAAATGCTTTCAGAAAATCCTATTCCCAGAAATTAATCGATATTCCTGATTTGAGTCTTGCCTAACATCAATTCTCATCAACATCAAAATACCACGGTTTTCAGCCGAGCAAAACACATGAATTAAGGTCTTTTCAGTACCGCACAAATGAAATAGAATTAGAATAATTTTTAAAATTAATTTTCCTTTTTGGAATCATCATGAATAAAAATTTTAGAAGAAAGCAACAACCATTTAGTAAATTGTTACAATCAGATAATAAACGGGAAAAGAATCGTGACCATGTCAAAAAAATAAATAAATAAATTGATAATTTTAACGTACAAAACAGATCCTAAAATCTTTTTTTTTATTAACAGTTAATGCTACTTTATGGTATAATAGAGTGGAAGAAGACTTTTTGTTAATCTCTTATTCTGTTATAAATTTCAAATCATAATTCATTATCAAGAAATTTTCGATACATAGTAGTCTAACCTTCACAATGCACAAAGATTAACTTCACTTCACTTAAAAAAAAATTCAAATCCTACTCCTAATAATTAGTTGTATAGTTGTTTAGACCAAATTTGAAAAAAATTGTAAAAAAAATAAACAAATAAAAAAAAGGGGGAAGAAATATTCACTAAATCAAAATAAATTATGATATATGATAATCATAACCCTGACCACATTATGATTGGAGGTTATTCCTTTTACTGTGTGTCAGTATTATAAGAATGTGTAAATTAAGAGCCGCACATTTCTGCAAATTCGAAATTCGTCTTGTCATCAACTTTGACTCCAGGTAAGTATAACAGGTTAATACTATGTGATTTAACACCACATTATATGACGTATAGTAGGGTGTTGTGACATATGGTGTATACCGGCATTTGTATCGTTTCTTAATTATTCAATTTCTTTGATTGTGAAATTGTTGTGTTGAAGCAGAACGAAAAATTTCTATTATATAAATACCAATTTATGATATTTTTATAATATAATTTAATTAAAACAAAATAATATTAAAAAATATAATAATAATAAAGAAATATGGCAGAACGGTAGCCACTGGTTTCTGAATATTGTTTGCTGCTCTTAGTCTGTAATTTAAAACTTGTGGCAACATCCACACTCTTTTGAATAAGTTTTTCTTTTACCAAGGTGCAATTCTCAGCCAGACATGATAATTTTGCTTTATTAAACATAAACAAATACAAAATAAAATTTTTTTATTGTAAAATTTTAAATTTAACTTTAACCTACAAATTTTTAAGGATCACTAAAACTTAACGAGTATCAATTATAAATAGTACCAATGTTTATTAAGTTGAAAATAATATTTCATACAAACAGTTTATACATACTCTCTAAAATAATTCATATTGCAACACGCATTTTATTAAAAAGGTGCAAAAACGCACTTAAACAAGAAAAGTTTTGAAATTATTTAAATTAACAGCACTTAAATATCACCCAATTTTTCAAAGTTATAATGTTTCCAGGGACTGAAACACGTAATTCCATTGGTGGTCTGTTACGATACATTCAAAGTATCGTTCTTTTTATTTTTGATTTAAAAGTTATACTTTGAAAAATCGGATCTCTATTTGATCGTGTGCCATATATAATAATTAATTGTTATTTGAAATTTAAATAGATTATTAAATTCAATGAACTTATTTGAAAAAGCCGTAGTGTCGCAAACAGGTCAATAACATAAGGATTGCTTCGAGTTCATAACAGTCTTTTTGCATGATTAAGAAATTCCAAATTCTTTCATATTCTATTCCTTCTTACGATTCTATAATTTAAAATAATTAACAAGCTCAACATACAAGAATGATTTCACCACTTTTATGCATTAACTCGAAAATTTAAGTGTCAAAGACTCTTTTGGTTCAATGACCAGATTGTATTGACAAAACAGAAACGCAGGCGTTTCTGAAAAGGTCCATTACATGATGCAAAATCAAAAATGAGTTAAGCATTTTTGCACAATAAGAAAGAAATGCTTTATAAGCGCATTTTAGCTTATATTAGGTAAAAACCTAGAAGTTTTATAAAGACATAAGGTGCACATAGTGCAAAAAATTAAACATGAGACGCTATGAGTTAAATGTTTTTATTTATGGGATCGTGTATTCTTCTTCTCTTTATATCTCGATTAATTTAATTTTCAATCTATTGTTAATTTAGGACTTTTAGGAATTTCATTAGGGATTTATGAGTAAAAGAAACCAATAAGTTTCGCAGACGGTCAACCTCGCGATAACCTGTCTCCAGGAGTTAACTGTCGCTGTTAAGATCTGATTGTCGCTGATTATCTGTTATCTTATAATTATATCTTATTTCTTTCTTATTGTGCAAAAATGCTTAACTCATTTTTGATTTTGCATCATGTAATGGACCTTTTCAGAAACGCCTGCGTTTCTGTTTTATACTCATTTCCTAATACTTAACCCTTCCCAATAATTTGTCACACCCAAGCCTCAATTTCATGCAATAAAACTTGTGTGCTTTCGATGTAATTCGCTTCTTCGCGACAGTTAACTCCTGGAGACAGGTTATCGCGAGGTTGACCGTCTGCGAAACTCGACCGGTTCAAGGGTTACATGAGTTAAATTAAGCCTTACACTTCTCATAAAATACCGGTAACCACTCATTAACTTCTTCTCCTTTTTCTTTTATTGCCTCATACATATACTTTATAGTGAAATACATTCAATCCTCGCATCATCAAACGGACAGAGGAAAAAGTTGTGTAGCACAAATTTCATGCAATATTTGATGTCAATGAAATCATAATTATTCAGTTTTATCAGAACATATTTCCTAATACTTAACCCTTCCCAATAATTTGTCATACCCAAGCCTCAATTTCATGCAATAAAACTTGTGTGCTTTCGATGTAATTCGCTTCTTCGCGACAGTTAACTCCTGGAGACAGGTTATCGCGAGGTTGACCGTCTGCGAAACTCGACCGGTTCAAGGGTTCGCCACGGGCAATCGAATTCGGGTAGACGTTAAACTCAAAAATCGCGAAGTGTTTGGAATAGATAAGACTGAGAAGTTATAGTGAACACAAAATAAAGAAGTGGAATAATTTAAATCAATTCATTAAAAATAACCTAAAAATTAATATTTACTCTCTCTCGCATATTATACAATTTTGGCAGCCCTTTCGTCACACTTTGAATTGCTCTGAATATATGACAGTGATCATATAACAAACTCAAAGCAATAGTGTTTTAAATTTTCCCGTTTAAATAAACCGTTAATAGTGAAAAGTTCAAAATAGTAATGACTGAGAATTAACAAATGAACAACCCATTAACAAAATAATCAATCATCAAATTTGCCCGTTCTGACCAGAAGAAAGGTTAGTTTTAAATGACACTCTCTCATTCTTCTTGTTTTAGTGCAGTAGGGATTAAGGTTACATAATAAAAAGATAATTGTAAGTAAAAATCAATTATGACTATTGCTAAATAAATATAATATCTTATTTGGTCTAAACAAGATGTTAAATTGTTCTGAACCCATAGTGCTTATATGCAATCCCTAATGAAATTCCTAAAAGTCCTAAATTAACAATAGATTGAAAATTAAATTAATCGAGATATAAAGAGAAGAAGAATACACGATCCCATAAATAAAAACATTTAAATTCATTTAAGTGGTTGTTGTGATCCGAAGATTAAGCTACAACTTTTGTTTTATTAATTAAATAACGAAAGACCTTGTTGAATAACCTATATATATATAATATATTATAAACATTTTTCACAACATTAAAATAACCGTTTTTAACGGATAAACGGTTAACCGTTTTTATCGGTTTTTTTTAAGTAACGAGTTAAACGGTTTTCCGATTATTTTGAAATTATAGGGAAAGAGAAGCATTATTTTTATTTGTGTATAGATAAAATTGTTTCTTAAACATCTAATTTGCAAAACGGAAGGCAAAATTTTCAAATCTAAATTTATATATTTTAGAAGTTTCTTAGATTTTTAATGTAATTTTTCAAAAATGAATTTTTCTTTAAGGGGACCATACAACACTTTTGCGTGTTTTTTCAACATTTATTTTTTCATAGTAAAATGTATATCAAAACACTGGGCTCTTTTCACACATATAACCACACATATTGAGGATTAAGAAAAAAATATTTTTTTATTTATTCTGACCTTCATGGCGACAAAATGGCGGCTGAAGTGATTGTCCGGAAAAAACTGGTTGACACGTTATCTCTGCTTCAAATGTCGGAAACAAAAAATCAAAAGAATTTCTTAAAATATATATCAGTGGCTATGGCCTGAACCACAACCAACATTCTACATCCATTTTTAACCCCATTTTTTTACCGTTTTAGGGGTGGAAAAGAGGTGAAAAAAATTTAAACCGCCGCCATTTTCTCATTTTTTATTCAAATTCACTCTTTTTTGGTTTACTGACAAATATTTTAAGAAATTCTTTTGATTTTTTGTTTCCGACATTTTGAAGCAGAGATATCGTGTCAACCAGTTTTTTCCGGACAATCACTTCAGCCGCCATTTTGTCGCCATGAAGGGCAGAATAAATAAAAAAATATTTTTTTCTTAATCCTCAATATGTATGTTAATATGTGTGAAAAGAGCCCAGTGTTTCGATACATTTTACTATGAAAAAATAAATGTTGAAAAAACATGCAAAAGTGGTGTACGGTCCCCTTAAGCACATAGATTTTAATTGCACACACTAATTTTATGTTTTTTGAAAATATAAAATGAATAAACAATCGGTTATTCCTAAATAACCGGTTATTTCAAAATAACCGAAAAAAGGTTAACCGTTTGCTCAAAAATTTTATAACCGGTTAACCGGTTATGACAATAACCGGTTTTATAACCAGTTAACCGGTTAACCGCACAGGCCTAGGTTTATGATAAAATTACAATAACATTGGAATAACTGGGATTAATTCATAAAAATATGAATTAAAATAGGATCAATTGGGGTAAATGTAAACGGAATATGTATCTTTCACCAAAAACCTTAGTTTTTTTTGTTAAAAGGTAAAACGGACGAATTTCTTTTGCATGAACTTGTTGCTAGTGTTCCCTAGAAAAATTTTATGAGGTACAAAAAAATATTGATGCACCTGAATCGCCTAAAACTGACTGTTTACATTTACCCTGAGATTTTGAAATTTTCCTAAAATTCGAGGTAAATGTAAACACCACTGTAGTTAAGCGAGGTTTAAGAAACAAGTTATTTCAAGTATACTACTGTTTTAAGGGATGGAAAAACTAAAAAAAATTCTTCGTAGATGTATAGTAAATCAACCAGTTGACTGATAATGTATCATATAAATAAACAATCAACCATTACAAAATTAGTAATGTAAAAACTTGAATAGCTTGAAGAAATTTTAATAGATTTTCATTCAACTTGGTAAAAAGAAGTTTTCAAGGTTGCTGAATAAGAATCTAAAATCGAATTTTTAAATTTCAAAATGGTGGATCCAATATGGCGGATGAACCTAAAAATAATATTTTTAAAAATTGATCAAATTTGCTTGAATCTGGCTACTCGGGGGTTTTTGAGGTCGCTGTATACGAATTTGAAGTCAAAATTTTAATTTTGAAAATGGCGGATGAACCTAAGAATATTTTTAAAAATTGATCAAATTTCCAAAAAAAAAAAAATTTTTTTTTATCAAATTTTTTTTTTCAAAGAGGACCTAATTTCTTTTTCTATGTTATTTCACATTGCCAAATTAATGAAATTGTGAAATAGAAGCAAATTTATTCAATTATTTTCTTTTAAAATGTAGTTGAAGTTCTGTTTACATTTACCCCGAGTTTTCGAATTCTCGGGGTAAATGTAAACACTTAATTATTTATTAACTAAATTGACGAAAATCAGAAATATTGACGTCGTACATATTTTTAAATTTGTAAATTTAGCTGAAACATCTACACGGAAAAAAAAGTTCACGAATCTCTCGTGAACTAGTATATCACTTTTGGATGGGACACAAAATTCTTGAAAATCAACAAACACAGTTCGTCAAAATTTCATCAACTCCTTCACTAGAAACATAGTACGGTTTCCGAACTTTTCGTCAAAGTTAACGAAAAATTCGTGAACTTTTAAAAAATGCTAAAAACAAGAAAAAATAATTCCCAGACACTACTTTTTTATGGTATTTCACTTTATTTGATAACTTGACGCCTATTACGCACCCAACTACACAGAATACACAATTTTATCGCCATTAAAATTCGTAATTCGCTTCACGGGATTCGAACCTAGTACCTATACCCTATAACATAATATTTCTAACAACTAACCGCCACGGCTAAATCTAGATACACTGTCCTTCGACAAACGAAACGATTAGCTTTGTCTGCTGTAAAACTCAGGACCGTGCAAAGTAGAAAAAGTCCCTTCCCTGGCGGGTTGGGCTACCGTAAATCTACCCAAGTTATGGTAGATTTAAGGTACACGGAAAGAAAAAGTCCGTCAATCATTAATAGACTAGTATATTACTTTGAGACGGGACACAAAATCATTGAATGCATAACATACTTTGAGTCACAATCAGTGACGAGTTGCTTGCTAAAATTTAGAAAACTGTCATCAATATATAAAACTCGTTCACTAAAATTTAGAAAACTGTCTATTAAATTTTCTATGACTATCAAAAGCATTCAAAAAATTCAACTTCTTTCAGAATTATCCCTAATTTTAGACACTATTTGGTACAGAATGAACACATTTTTTTCGTTGCACAGTTCCGATATTTTATTTACACTCTTAGACGCTTTAGACCAACACATTTTCGCACTTATAATAACTACACGTAGAAACGCACACTTATAACACTTTAAGTTTAGAAGCGAACTGTTCTTATATACCAAATAACAAAAATTTTCACAACTTGTGAGAAATGATTTTGCACTAATAACTACTTTTTAATTGGCGAGAAATATAAAAGAAAATATACTTTTATCGAGGTCAATTTCTAGACGCAATTCAACTGCAAATTATTAGTTAAGTTAAATATTCACATTACACATAATAGTATATAGGGATATGTATAGCAGACAGCAAAAACACATGGACTATAGAGAAACCGGAAGAAATGCGCATCGGTACACTGCGCAACGATGCGCTAGTGAAGAGCGCCGATTTAGAATACGAGTCAACTAACGTTTCACAAACTTTCACTAATGATTCGTAAACATTCAAACAGCCATTGATAACAATTCAGCATTAAATCTAAAACAATTGGTCACATACTGGCATTCTAATCAATCCATGACTCGTTTTCAATCGTTAAGTAAAGTTAAGTAACCATCAACGGAAAAAGAGTCCCGTCTCAAAGTAATATACTAATCCATTAATGGTTGACGGACTTTTTCTTTCCGTGTAGGTTTTGGGTAGACTTAAAAAATTGCTATTATTCAATGAAATATTATAAAATAAATTATTGGGAATAATAAAGTAACATTTGTAGATTAAATTTTTAAATTATATTATGTAAATTAAACAATTAAAAATAAATTATTGATATGTAAAAGTGACAAAGTAGTTTCCAGTAAATATAGTGGGTTTTAAATAGCATATTTAGTGAATAATAAAAAGAAAAAATTAGGAAAACTTATTTAATTTCACAAAAGTAATCATTAAAGCATTTATTTATTACATATTT